CAGAACCAGTAGTAAAAAAAAAAATTGAATTTCACCACTGGCTTCATTTCATGTTCTGCAGGGACTCCAATGAATTCATTGCCTCTGTGGTGATCATGACTTTTCTAACTCACCTCAGCAAGCAGATGCTGGATCTCATTTGCTTCAGAGTAAATGAGACATGATCTAGATCTAGACACCCCACATAACCCACTTTATGGTCTGTGTCTGTTGCTCCCCTCTGGAAGGAGGTTTTGAAGTATTTCTAGCAGGACTACCAGATTCTTTGATAGTTCTGTTCCCTATGCCATCCGTCTGGTAAACTCACAAGATTCGTTTTTCTCGCCATGTACTGTACATGCATACATCCAAACTAGACCTTGCTGTTTTTCTATGTAATGTAATATCTGTGGGTATGTGCATAATTTTGCATTTATTTATTTAATTAGTCATGTTTGTGCAGTGTATATTGGAGGTGGGGACCCTTTGAGAGTGATATGCAATGAAATTTCATTTTAATGTATGCCGATTAGTGTATATTTAAAGCAGTGGTGGGATTCAAATAATTTAACAACCGGTTCGCTGTCCTAATGACCAGGTGGATAGGTGTGGCTTAGCAGTCATGTGACCATGTGGGCGTGGCCAACGCAACATTACTCAGGTCGATGGGTGCTTTGCCTTAGCTGTTACAATGTAATAAGGTTTAACCGGAGAGGCAGTTTCTGTAGGGAGGGCAATAAAGATTAAGCTGGAAACAACACCAGAATGTTTCCTTCCTGCCTTCCTTACAGGATTAGCCCTGTGAAGTGGAAAAAACAAAAAGCGATTTCTTCCAGCAACCGGTTCTCCAAACTGCTTAGAAAGTTACCAACCGGTTCTCCCGAATAGGTGCAAATTGGCTGAATCCCACCACTGATTTAAAATGACAATAAAGTTATTCTAAGTTCTAAGTAGATGGGACATTATCACCTGTACTTTTCTATGATGAGTTCTTACTAAGCTATGCATTACAAATACTCCAGACTTATACGTGATTAGGTGATTACGTTGGTCCTAAGGCATTTCATGAATCTGGATGGACTTTTGGAAGGGTTGGAGGGGAGCAGTAGCCAGACAGTTCACTCTCTCACCAAGTTGACTCCCGGAATACAGAAATAGCCAGAGTGCTAGATGAGATTGTGCCCGTGAGACTTCTGCCCTATCACCATTTAGTTCCCTGAAGGAGCTATGAGAAATGAAGACACCTGAAGTGACACTGATGAGAAATCTGTCATGGAACACTGGTTCAAGCTCACATTCGAGTTTGCACAGTGGTGATAAGAATGTTAATGGATTAATTTTGGGTGCCTGTTTCATCTGCAGATTCTTGACAGCTCCATCTGGGGTTATGTGATAGTTATTGGAGAAATATGGGCAAGATACAGTGCCTGCAGCATACCAGATGAATTGTCAGGGTTTCTTTGCACATAAAGTTGCCCATGTCAACTATGGGTTTACTGTCAATTTAACAGAGTCCACTGTGGTCAACAAGACAAGGTCTTCTGAAATCTTCTTGGATTCTTTTGAATTCATGGAACCTAGGAAACTGGATAGAATCTTCTGTGATTTGAACACTCCTTCCCATGTGCTTGACCTGTGGTGCAATCAACACGTTTTTGTAGAAAGGGAACCTCCTGCTGCTGCTGCTTGCCTTGAGGAAGGTGATATTGGAGAGGTCTACCCTGGACCCAACCATCTCCACCTTTCATTTGAAAGGAAGGTTTTAAAGCAGGTTGTAGTGCTCAATTAGAGAGGAATCTAAAGGAAACAGATTTATCAAGATTCGTACCAATCTAATATCAGGCCATGGAACAGAAAGGTCATTTCTTGCTCTAGTCCATGACCTTCACAGGGACCTTCATGGAGAATGTGCCCCCTTGGTCCTATTAGTTCTTTCAGTGATGTTTGATACCATCAGTCAGAGGGTTTTGTTGACTTGTCTACAAGGGTTGAGTGTCTATTTTATGATAATTCTGCTCCTTCTGAAATGGGCAGTACGGTGTGCTGCAGGCTCTGCTGTGCTATTTAATCTCTACTTTCAAACCATCAGTTTGAAATTAAATGTCACGAATATGCTGATACTCAAGTTGATATTGCCATTCCAGACTGATGCTATAGACATCCCAAACAGATCTGGAGACTGTCAGGGTCAGGATAGATTAAATCATTCCAAAATCAAGTTGGCAAACCAGTAACAACAGTCCTTGTAGTATCACTGAATGGAGGTGGCGAGGTGGCG